GCTCATCATCGTCCGCATCGTCCCCCTTCCACCGCTTCCGCCTTGGAATCTCCGGAATGATGAGCTCGAATCCCGACGCGGTCCCGGCGCGGTTCGAGCGCGTCGCTCTCGCTCTCGCTCCCCCCCCCGTCTCCACCCCCCGGTAACGCCCGACGCGCGTCCACCCCACCCCCCCCACCCCCACCCACGTCCCCCCGCCACTTCCACGGCTTCCCAACCGGCGGCGTCCCGCTCGGATTGAGCGTCGGGTGATAATACGCGCTCTCCTCCGGCGCCCGCGTCCCCCCCACGACCGCCGCCGTCCCACTCGGCTGACGCCGCGTCCGAGCGCCCACCCCCCCGAGCTCCCCCGCGGCTTCGCGCGTCGCGATCACGCGCGCCAACCACCGCGCGCGGTCGTCCGAGACGGTCGATCGTCCGTCCGCGCGCGTCGCCGACGCCTCGGCGCGAGACATCTCCGCTCGCAATTCATCGACATCCATCGCGCGCGCGCGGGCGTCTCTTCGGGCCACGCGCGCGGCTTTATGCTTCGCCCGCGCGCGCGCGCGAAGCGCCTTGCGATGGGCCTCCATGCCCGTCGCACCGCGCGTCGCGGGGCGTCGCGCGCGCGCGCGTGGGGCACGTTGACGCCCGCGTCGCGTGTGTTTGACTCGTATGGGTTTTGTGTGCGTGGTCACGCGTGTGTTTGACGCGTATGGGTTTTGCGTGCGTGCGTCGTGGACGTGATCACGCGTGTGTGTTTGACTCGTATGGGTTTTGTGCGCGTGATCACGCGTGTGTTTGACGCGTATGGGTTTTACGTGCGTCGTCGCCCGCGCGTCGCGTGTGGTGTGTCTCTGATGGGCTTTACGTACGTCGTCTACGTGTGGTGCGAATGCGATCGATGAAACCTCCGGGCGCGTCGCCGCGTCATCGCCGCGCGCGCGCGCGCGAGCGCCCGGGGCGCCCGAGAGGGAGCGAACGGGCGAGCGGTCTCGCGCGCGCGGGATGGGACGGACGAAACAGCGAGGGAAGACGCTGACGCTGGGTGAATTCTTCGCCGAGACGTCGACGCAGCGAACGAGTGGATTGCTCGGCGCGCGCTTAGCGCGCGCGGTGGACGGTGCGACGGACGGTGGAGACGATGGGGACGATGATTCCTACGCCGAGTTCACGGTGGAGATCGGAAACGCGAGCGTGCGGTGCGCCGAGCAAGAGGGGTCGTACGACGTCCGGGCGTTCGCGCGCGAGGGACGAAACGCGGGCGGGAAGGTGATTAAGAGCGTGACGTTCGTATTCGGTGGTAAAATGGGCGAACGTAGGGTCACGGAGGCTCCGTTTGAGGTGCAGTATCGATGCGAGACGTCGGTGGACGTGGAGGTGGCGGTGCAGTTCCACAGGGCGTTGAACGCGCGGCCGGTGAGGGAGCTCCACGCGATCGAGTTGTCGAGCGAAGAGCGAGAGTTCTCGAGGTCGTTCGCGGTGGAGGTGAAGCGAAGGGCGTTGATGAAGGTTTTAGGCAAGGATAAGGGCGATGCCGAGGTCGATGTGCGCAGGGCGGAGTCGAGGTCGAGTCTGTTGGAGGAGAGTCAATCGCGGGGCGTCGACGCGTGGACCGTGCAGGACGTGAGCGAGTGGCTGCGTTCGATCGAGCTCGAGGAGCTCGTGGAGAGGTTTGCCAAGGCGAAAATAAATGGGTACGAACTCCTCAGGTTAACAGAAAAGGATTTACGAGAGAGCTTGCACTTGGAGAGGAATTTAGAACGCGTGCGAGCGATTCGAGCTATAAACGTCTTGCGCGCGAGCGCGGGCGCCGCGGACGCGGAGAACGATGATAAGAGCGCCACACCGCCGCTCTCCGCACCCTTGGGTGCCCCTAGAGGTGGTCTGAGCCCCTTGGAGCTCGAGCTCGACGTGTCGTGGATCGAGTTCGTGAGTGAGAAGGCGCGCGCGAGCGTTCTCATCGGGTGGTTCATGCACGTCCTCGATGAAGTCAAAGCGAAGGAGTTTGACGAACCCGGGCCACAGCTCAGCGTGTACTGCGAGGCGACTTTGCAAGCATCGAAGAGTTGCGAGGACGCGTTAGAGGAGCGCGTGTTGGACATTTTAGAATCCACCCCAGGTTGGGATCCGCGTACAAAAATGTTCCCGAGCACGTGCGACTTGACAAAACTTAACGATCAGCTCATGGAGTTGTACCTGGAGGTGAAGGCGTTTGAAGAGTTCGCGGCGTTGAACATGGACGACGATCGTGGTGAGCACGAGCGTTCGAGATCGACGCCGCCGAAGATGCCGGGAGAGTCGTCTCCGGCGATTCCTAGACTCAATCGAGCCGAAAGCTTGACGACGCCGAGCGTGAGCGGATCGCCCACATTTACGTCGCCGCGCAACGACATGGGACCGTCGCCGTCGCCGAGCGGATTAAACGTTGGTGCCCGTTCGTTTTCACCCACACCGTTGTCCGATCTCACGCGTTCGTCTCTCCCGGAGCTCCAAGAAGACGAAGTCGCGGATGGAGACCGCGTGATGGAGCTCAACACGGAGTGGGAGATCGATTACAACGACATCGAGTTCGAGGGCGGCGTCCCTTCCTCTAAAAATAGGATTGGCCACGGAGGGTTTGGCGAGGTGTTCCTCGGTCGATATCACGGATCGCTCGTCGCGGTGAAGAAGTTGTTCAACCAGGACATGATGGGTAAGGGCTTACAGGATTTCCGACGAGAGGTGAGGATATTATCGAGGCTTCGTCACCCGTCAATCGTTCTGTGGCTCGGCGCGTGCACGCAGGCGCCGAACCTGACCATCGTGCTCGAGTACATGGAGAAAGGGTCGCTCCATCAGTTCCTCCATCGAACAACCAATCCGTACACCACGCTCACGCTCACGCGGTGGGGAATCACGATCGTGCAAGGAATGGTATACCTGCACTCGGCCAAGCCGTTTCCGATCGTACACTGCGACTTAAACACGAATAACGTTCTTGTGAACCGAGACGGGATGGTAAAGATCACCGATTTCGGCCTATCCAAGGTCAAACACAGTTCGCGTCTGTCCCGACAGACTGGCATGACCGGGACGGTGAACTACGCCGCCCCCGAGGTGATTCGCGGCGGAAAATTTAGCGAGGCCTCGGACGTGTTCTCCTTCGGCGTCGTCATGTGGGAGCTCCTCACCCGGCGTATCCCATGGGAAGATCTCAACGAGTATCAGATCGTGTTCCAGATGACATCTGAACTCGATGCCCCGCTCGCGGCGACTGCGAAGAACCTCGAGCTTCCGTCTTCGTCCCCCGAGGGGTTCCGAAAGATCATCCACGGATGCTGGGCGACGCAACCCGAGCGCCGCTCCGGCTTCAAGGACGTCCTCGTCCATCTCCGAGAGGAGTACCGCGTGCTCGTCGAGAAGGAAAAGGCTTTACGAGCGAGTCGTCAGGGGTCGAGCTCCAGCCTCTCCGGTGCCCCACCGCAATGACGTACACCGAAGAAGAGAAACTGCACAAATAGCGTTTCATTGTAACCATACGCTCAGCGCGAGAGATGCGCACGCAGCCCCCACTCACCGACGCGTTCGTCGACCAAGCGTCTCGATCGCACGAACGATGCCTCGAGCGTCGTCCGAGCGCGAGCGACGATCGAGATCACCCACGCGTCGACGCGAACGGAGCGATTCTTTGTCGAAACAGCGACGCCGCAAAAACGTTCGCGACGATGAAAATCGCTCGAGACGCTCGCGCTCGCGCTCGGATGACGACGAGGACCAAGTGAGACGATTCGAGAAGTTCCTGCGAAGACGTCTGGAGCGCCAGGAAGCGACGCGAAGGGCGGCGGAGAAGGAGGAGCGGGAGGCGCTCGAACGAGGCGACGCGCTCGTCGGACCGCCGCCGCCGCCGGAATCGATGAACATCGCGAGCGAAGTAAATCACGGTGGGAGGTTGTTAGCGGGTGAAGGAGAGGCGATGGGGGCGTTCGTCAGGGATGGGCAGCGGATTCCGCGAAGGGGGGAGATTGGATTGAAGACGGACCAGATTGAAAAATTTGAGCGGTTGGGATACGTCATGTCGGGATCGAGACACGCGCGGATGAACGCGGTTCGCATGCGGAAGGAGGCACAGGTATACAGCGCGGAGGAGAAGGCAGCGTTAGCGGCGTTGAATAAAGAGGAGCGAGCGGCGAAGGAGAAAAAAGTTTTGGATGACATGCGCGCGCTCGTCGCGGCGCAGCTCGCAGCGAGAGAGGGAGGCGCGAGCGGCGGTGGCGTCGGCGGGTTTACGTAAAGGTGCGCTTGCGTTATTGGATTACTAGCTAGATTAGATGGATTTTGTGAGCACTGGTGTATCATTCGTCCTGTTCATCTGAGTTCGTGCTGTAGTGGACGTCGATGTTTTTCAGGGAGTTGGCGACACGTTGCATGAAGAGAGTCGATGCGTCATCGAAGACGTGCTTGGTGCCGAGCGCAGCTTCTGAGTGCTCGTCGTCGTCGTCGTCGTCGTCGTCGCCGTCGTCGTCGTCGTCGTCGTCGCCGTCGTCGTCGTCGTCGTCATCGTCTTCTTCTTTATCATCGCCGTCGTCGTCTTCGTCGTCGTCGTCATCCTTCGTCTTCTTCGCCTTTTTATCCTTGTAAAACTTGATGCCGTCGGCATTTCCGATTTCATCATCGTCGAATTCTTTCTTCGCGAGCGCTGCGGACTGCTTGGACTTCTTTTCATCCTTCTTCGCGGACGCCGTCTCCTCCTCCTCCTCCTCCTCCTCAACCTTCTTCGTGGACGCCGTCGTGTCATCCTTCTTCGACTTGTTCTCCTTCTTGTCATCCTTTCCTACCTCTTTCTTCGATGTCGACGGTCGTTTGTCTTGAACGACGATTGGAATAACCTCTCCGTTCTTCGGAGCAAATCCGAGCGTGTTGGGATAGAGTTCCATGAGCGCTGAGACTATCCAATCTGAGTGCGTCACGAGCATGACGACATCATCGTCGTACTGATCGAAGACGTTCGCTAGAACAACCTTGACGCGGTTCATAATTCCGGCCAGGGTCTCCGGCGTGCGACTGCTCAAATCTAAGTCGTTCTCGTGCGTGAGGCCGAGACCGCTGCAGGTTTCGTACGATTTTGGCGTTAACTTGTCCACCCGACACTCCCTTTCATGCGTCTCGACGTCGATCGCGAACGCGCCGTCGCCGTAAAGTTGCCGCATTCCCGCGTGGAACTTGCAATTCTTCACCTTTGTCTCCTCGATCGCCTTGCTCGCCGACATGGAGCGTCCCTTTTTCAGCGACGCGGGCGCTCGAACCTCAAACGGAGTGTTCAGTTCGATGCGCTCACGTAAGTAGTCCGTCACCACGATGGGCTTTTCGAACTCGGGAACACCCGATGTGGCGATGAGTGCGGTTTCCATCGCTCGAGAGAGCGGCGAAGAGACGATTTTGATCGGGTTGGAGTTCTTCGCCCCGCCCCGCACGGCGCGCAAAAATCCGTCTCGACCGGCGAGCGTCTCCCTTGTAGCCACGATCTGTCGCACCCCGACATCCGTGAGCGACGGATCGAGCAAATCTTGGTCATTTCTCCACGTACACGGCAGCGTCTTGAGCTCCTCGGTCTGCACGTCGCCCCACGCGTTGTGCACCGCGTGCCCGTGCCGAAGCAACAACAACACCTTTTCCTTCCCGTGACTCTTCGCCACCTCCTCGCGAATCGCTTTCCACCCACCTTTCGCGCTCACGCCGTACCCATCGCTCTCTTGAATGAGCTCGTCGTTTTCCCCACGCTTGGACTCCCCCGGTTGCCGCGACGCCTTGAGCGTCTTGAACCACGACTCGTACGAAAACGTCCCGCGCTTCGCCGCGAACGGCGCCGCGTCCACCGCCCCGCCCGCCTCTTCCCCGAGCTCGCCCGCCCCCTTCCCACCCCGAGGCATCCCCAACGACGCAATCTCTCGTCGATCGATCGTTCCGAGCGCATCGAGCGACGACGTCGCCGCGCCGCCGCGCGTCGCCGCGATCGCCGCGCCCGCCGCGCCCGCCGCCGCCGCGCACGCCGCGATCACGCCCACCCGTCCCCACCGCCCTCGCGCGCGCGTCGACGCGTCACCCTGC